TATATCTGACTCTTTTAGTTTTAGGACTTACAAACAACCGTTATGTAAACAAAACTATAATACTCTCTTTAGCAACATTGTTGCGAGAGTATAATAAAAAGAGGGTATAACAGTTTTGCTCCACTTTTATACTTCGCTTAAAAATAAAATAATGTAGTCCGTGAGGTTATAAAGCAAAGAATGCGAAGGTTTTGTTTACAATTACTAATAAAAATTAGGAAGTTCTTATCGCTCGCGACGATTGTCAGATACTACTTGGTTGAACGTTTCCAAAGCTGAAAATTCCGATATTGCAACAGGTGGCGCAAAAATAACCTTCCGTTGTTTTTTGGAAAATGAAAAACTTTTTCAAAAAATGAAAAACTTTGATTCTGCTTATGGATTATTTTTATTTGGTCTTTTAAATTTTTTTCGAGAACATGATACCATGTAAATGGCCGCCGCCACAGTTGATTGTCATTTGAGCCCTTTTTATGACATTTGCCATCACTTTGTCCAGAATTTCCGGCGATAGATCCTCGCATTCTTGACGGATATTGTCTTTAAGGGCTGCAGGAGTCTGAGGCTTGTCGACATAAACTCGCGACTTCACAAAACACCACAAAAGAAGTCTGGAGCGGTAAAATCAGCCGGTCTTGCTGGCCAGTGCAAATCGCCAAAACGGGAGATTAAGGGCCCCGGCAATGCATCCTTCAGCATATCGTGTTTTCTACACATATATCAAAACAGAACTGACATTAGAGGTCACTTGCAAAATTTATAGCATCTTCTGATTTTTACGCCACCCTGTATTATAAATGTGAAAACTGTCAAACCTTAGGTCATTGTCACTGTTGTGTACTTTATTGAGGACCCAAATGTGGAAAATCGGGATAACAACGCATTCCGTGGACCTACCTATTTAAAGAATCTGATCGCAAATTACATGAAAGCAGCTGCTACAATAACAGTGTTAACAGTAATCACACAATACACGCATATGTCTGTAGACTTAGTAGCAGTATTTGAGCCATGGTATGGCCATTAAGATTACTTATGAAGAGAATGTCGGAAAGGAGTTTGCTGAAAAAAGTAGAGTTTGGTGGCAAAAAAAGAAAATAAAGTAAAAGAAAGTGAGCACATATGGGCACTGTGTGCAACTAGATTGCTAAGC